AGCTGGTTTCCTGCCCTCTCCTGGCTCCGATCCCTTCCCAGCCCGCGCTGGCGCGTCCCGACCAAAACTCGTCTGCAGCCTCCCGGCCAGCGAGGAGGCCTCCTCGCTTCCTAGGAGAGAAAAGCAGGAGCCAGGCTGACCTCGCTGTCAGGAAATCGGCCTTGACATCAGCCCGAAAACCTCCGGCGAGCGAGAGAGAGGCTCTTTATTGTAATTCCTCCGCGGTTTCATCCCTCGCCCTTCTTGCCGTTCACGCCCTCCAAATATTTCTAGCCTGTTATCATGCCTCTGGTACCTGCGGCGCAGCCAAGCAGCCTTTAACTCTTTCCTGATGGCTCGGCCCGCGGCCGTCCGCCTCCGGTGCTCGTTTTCCCGGCGCTCGGCAGGGGCAAACGCGTCCTGCGTTTGGGGGATCGCGGCTCTGCGGGTCCCTCTTTTCTCCCCAGGTCGGATGCATCCCGGTGCGGGGAAGGGGCTGGCCGGGGAGCGAACGCAGGGGGCTTGCGAAGAGGCTGGGGACGGGGAGCGCGCGCCCTTTTTCTCCCTAGCCAGGCCCAGGGTCCAGCCGGCGGAGGGGGCTGCGGGAAGGAGCTGGGCGTTGGGAAGCCCGTTTGTGCTGACGGTCCGTCTGGGCACGGAGGGAGCCGGCTGCGTGCAGGAAATCTCTGGCACGGGACAGGGCGGAGGGTCCCCATGACCGCCGTCCTGCACGTGCTGGCGGGATCCGCAGATGGCAGCATCCCTGCCTCCGCGATTTGCTGCCTGCGTGGTTTAAGCTGTTGTTGGGCATCAGAAACATGTGGGCCGTGTTTTCGGCTCTGTAAGGAGCCTTGGACTCTCCTGTGCCTTCCTGTCGTGCCTGACCCCGGGACGTGGGGATGCGTGATGAGGACAGGCTGGCATGTTCACGTTACACAATGGGATGCCCTGGTACAGCCTTCATCCTTTCCCTGGTTAAAACACCTCCCATGGGAGCTGTGGAGGCATTTTCCGTGGTTACTGGAACTTGCTTGGGTCCAAACAGATGCTGGCCGCCCTGCTGCAGCCACAAAGCATCTGGGCTCGCCGTGTGCCAGGGACGCTGGCTGAGCCCGTCACCCCGTGCTACCATCTTGCTCGCACGCGGTGTCTGCCCTCGAAGGGCGCCTCCTCCCTTCGTCTGCACAAAGGCTGCAGGGCCTGCTGGCCTGGCAGAGGATGGGCTGGAGACCGTGGCTCCGGCGTCCCCAGGACCGTGTCTCCGCAGGCTGGGATCCCTCGGGCTCCTCTCCCAGCTTGGCTGCTGCCCCGCACATCTGTGTGGCAGAGCAAGCGCCTTTCCAAAGGCCCCTGTGTGGCCAGCTGGGGTGGGGGGAGAGTCATCCGTGCTTGGCAAGGCCAATGATCTCATTTTGTTTTGTTTCTGTGCTTTCGCAGAGCCTGGATGGGGACCAAGCCATACTCCAGAGGATAAGGAAATATGTGAAAGCCATTCATGTCTCCGGGCTCAGTAAGTTGCGCTTCGCGAGGCGTTGGGCATCCCCGTCCCCAGGCGGTGCCTGTGACTGTCCCGTCTCCACGAGCAGTGGCCGTGCCCGTGCCAAGCATGGCCTGCGGGCCTGGAAGCTTAAAAAAAGGGGGAAAAGGGAAATTGGGCTCCTCAGGGAGGTTGTTTAGGGTGCATCCTTGCTGTCCTGAGGCTGGATTAACGCAGCTCTGCTAGTGGGGAGTGGGGATGTGGGTACGACAGCATGGGGGACCTCATGGTCTGAGCATCTCCTGGGGAAGGGGCGCTGTGGGGCTGCCTCGGGTGACCCGGCACCCGCTGCGGTGGGTCAGCCCGGCCTCACCAGAGTCTCCGCCGCGCAGCCCACGTGGAGAACGAGGAGCAGTACAGCGAAGCCCTGGAGACCTTCGGCAACAACCACCTCTCCCAGAACAACCACGAGCTCTCCACCGGCTTCCTCCACCTGGGCCTCCTCCACCG